CATGCCTCTGTTACAATGTTAACAATGATACCATGCCTCTGTTACAATGTTAACAATGATACCATGCCTCTGTTACAATGTTAACAATTCTGCTATGCTACTGTTATGCTACTGTTACAATGTTCCTATGCTACTGTGGAAAATGCAGCTGGAACAAGACAACACCTGAAACTGAGAACAGCAGAAATGCAGTCATCATAAGATAACACCTGACCATTAATATTCCACATGAGAAGCATTTTCCTATGCTTCTACAGTAAATTTCCTATTTACTATGTTTTTTTACACTTTATGCTATCCTAGAACTAAATAAAAGCAGGGGCGTTCCGGATGGTTCCTTTCTGTTCTTAAAAAGACTTCCCAAACCTCACATTGTGAATGGGTCATTGGTCCTGTGGCAGCCTCTGGTGTATATCTCAGTAGGTGAGGGGCTCACTGCCCATGTCTGGAAGGTCAAAGGTTTGAATCCAATGGCCAGGAAATTAATAAGCCTTTAAGACCAGCTGCTCCATGGGTGAGGAGTGTTGGCTGACCCTGCACTCTGACCCCAGGCTTTCACGACGCAGACGTCATTTTTGGGCTGAAGGGTGACCATTGTACCATTTACTGTCACAGCCATTAGGTCAGACAGGATGTTCTTCAATGGTACCAGTTTGTGGAAATAATCACTTAAACAACATTGAGATGTGGTGATTTTTTACACATTGGACAGCCTTTTAACAGAAGTTTTTGTCAAGTTCAAACATTACAAAGAGGCTTTAAATTGCAAAACAATGTTGCATTCAGAGAGCCAGTGCTACTGAGGAAGAAACAGGCTATTGTCTCACCAGAATTGCACACAAAGAGCATTGAATTATGGTGTTTTATTTGTGTCCCAATAACCAGAAATTGTCTTAAAATTAAATCTCACTGTCACAGATTATATGTATTATTCATATATGCTCTCTACGCAATAATGGATCATATTACATCATGCTGAAATAATTAGCGTTTCATATATGTGCAACATCAGAGCTAGACTGTAAATTACAGGTCGACCTCAAATGTGGCTTTCAGTGTGATTTCAGCCGATTTAAATTCAATTTTACTGACAGGTTTGTGTTTGAAATGACTGACTGTACCTATACGTGACCCTCTCCCCCCCACCCCAGCATAAAATGTGTAACTGGGGTGATGGATCACATGACAAACCTGTATATAGGGTCATGCATCACCAGCATCTTGCTCTCATCCCAGGTCCATTCTTTCCTCTGCAAAGATGAACCGAAAACCATGACTGCGATTTCTGCTTTCAGGAAGGTACAGTACAGTGACGCTTAGCAGAATGAAAACATTAAAGACCATGTGGACGTTCCTTCAGAACACTGCATAGGAACGGAACACTGAATAGGATCATTGATTGCAAAGCAAAATGCGAGGTCACTGCAGAGCCTTGGGTTCAGTCTGCTCCCTGATTGGCCGGGCCATACCTTCTGCTTCTTCCTCAGGACCACCCGCACTCCATCCACAGACACCACGAGACTCACTTTCTTCTTCTTGATGTTCTTTGCTTTAAATTCATACTGAAAAAGAGACAGATAACCCACATGGGTTAAGCTACAAAATGGCACCGTGAACGAGGCTGTGTGACTCCCCGACCTCATGGAATGGGGTTAGAATTGTAAAAACATTATACACAACAACAACAATTATTATCAGTCAGCCAACACCTTTGGCAGAAAATGAGAATATATATTATTTAATTCATAACTGTAAGCCGGGCTTTTTCCCCAAACTGGACTCCCACACACACAAATGCACACAGACTATGTCAGAACATATTCCTGCCACAACTGCACTCAGCAGTCACACAGCAAAGCCCACAGTTTAATGAGCTACTCAGTCGCGTGAGCTGGGAGTTTGGGATTCGACACACAGTCCGTGCAAAGGTGCCTTCATTTTCATCATCACTCAGTCATAACTGGCAGAGATCAATGGTATATACTGAAGCTGATTAGTTTTCTACTTGTAATGTAAGAGGCGGAACACTGTGGAAGCTCTTATGCTACAGTACATTACAAAAGGAATATTTGCAAAGCAAAATGTATCCAAAGGAAAAACCGATAACCTGCAGCAATTATCTGCTGACTTCATCCAACAACCCAGACCAAGATGAATCAAATTCTTTGCCACATTTTTTTAAACCACGTGAGCACAGCTCGGTTCTGAAATACTGGATGCTGTTGCTGCAAAGGGATCTGCCAGGACTGGAAACAGTCCGGAGTAAAGTAGAGCGCACATCTTCAGAATCAAATGGCCAGAAATTTCCATCAGTCCTCTCAGGAGCTGTGTATTCATTTATTCATTACGTAATGTGACAGGACGCCTCATTCTGTAATTTATAAAAAAAGTATCAACAAACTTATCCTTGATGGACAACCAACTGAATATGTATATATTTAAATTAATCTTCCAGCTCTGATCTAAATTGTCTTTATACAAGCCATCACCACTTATATTAAAATAATTATGTAGCAGTTTGAGTTGCTCGAGCTGAGGACACACTGTATGTTACAGAATGCTCTCCTGCATGCTGTGGATGTATGGAGACCATGTGCCATCTGGTCCCCACATTGCTGACAATGTACGAATTAAGACATCCGTGCTAGTAATTCTTAGTGTTTGCAGCTTGTGGGTTTGCGTGACCATTCATTTCCGAGTCCCTCTACATTGGTTTTCATTTACAGTCGTCCATTTCTTTAATCAATTATGCAATTATGGAGAGCAGGACTATACGAGTGTGGACTTCATGAAAAATTACCTGAGGTAATGGTGAAGAACTCAATGTAGAGTGTATTGCTTTTGGGAATACAAAGTGATTTGGGCTGAACAAAGAACTGAAAACTAATGTCCTGCATAACTGTCGGCTCTTATCACCACTTGATAAAACCCAGCCCTTATTTATAGGCATAAATGTAATAAATCCTTAATGTTATTGTGTGTTTAGAGAGATCCTTTTTGGTATGAGTCCTAGATCCCTAGATGCCTCTGTGACGCTTCCAAACCATTGCTGCAGAAGCAGTATGTCCGGTCATGTGCTCTGCATGCATTATCATTCATCAAACATCTCTTGAAAAGTCGCCAAGTTACAAAGAGACCCCACAGCCTCTGCCCTCGGTACAGCCGGGTCTCGGGAAGAATTCCGGGGCTGACGTGACACGTCCTCATTGTGAGCTGGACATTCTCAGCCTCATCCCAGAGGCCGGGTGGGAGCAGCACGCCTCACCGAGTTACTGTTAGTGGATCTTAGCTGGATGGCCTGCCGCTCGCACGAGATCCCAGCCAGCAAGACCTGCGGTTATTGGAATTTCTGGGAGGTGTCACTGACATGTTGGCTTGGAGCCTCAGCCCGTCGATGGTTCGGAGGAGGGAGGCTGGGGAGTGGGGGTCTCTCTGAAGCATCACTGACGGCCACCCCCTCACCTGGGACTCCCATCCACAGTGTGAGAGATTGGGCCATTCACACATGATATTTTGCATGATTGATGCATTCGGAGAGTGAAGTGGCTGTTACAGGATATAAACCCATTTCCAAGAGGCAAAAAGAGTCCTGCCAATAGTGCAATTTTTGATTGCCTTATATATCCCAGACATTATGAGAAGCAGAGGCAAATGGAGATGGATGTTCGATTATGGATGCAATGCTACCTGCTACCAAGCTAACGCAGATGGCAATCCCCAACCAGGCCAGCGAGATAAATCTGAGGCACCACAGAAACAGAGAAAAAAAATCTTTATTTAAGCTTAATAAAGTGACTGAGATAATTTTAACCACACTGTCAACAGAAACCAAATAATTCCTCAAAAAGTATCTGAGGATTCCTGGCAAAAGGTAAAAAACCAATAATAGAAACATGCAGTAATACCGATTCACTCTTCAGAAGAGGGAATATCTTTTCCCATCATTCCCACTTCTACTCTGTTTATAAATCTATTTAAAAACTGTTTATTAGAAGCTTTTCTGTCTGATTGTGGCATCTTTGGTATTTTTTAACAAAATCAATGCATTTACTGAAACTGGAAAACCTGATTTCCGGTTAGAATGAATCTGGACTTCAGCCATGGGTCAAACATGAAGCCTCTTTGTTCTATTTAGGACAAAGCAGGTTTCCATGGCAAAATGCAGTCTAGGTTACCCAGAATTTTCCTCTCATCCCACCAAAGACACAGAATTTAAAGCATATCGTAGCTCATGCACATTCTTCGCAGCGCAGCTGAATCTATAGAGGCAATACAATGAAGCCTGTATATTGTATCCAAGCAACCATGAGTACGCGATTCCTGGGATTTAGCTTTCGAAAAAAACTACTAAGCTGCCATCAATGAAAAATATTTAATAAACATTTAATAAAAACTTTACTGAGCATTAAAAAAACTAAAACCACAAATTCAAACATTTGAGGATTATTTTGATAATTCACTGAAAATTCAATAAAGGGCATGTTTATTAAACATATGATTCAAGTAAAATAACCATGATAATATCCTGTAAGTGAAACGTTTACACTTCTTGTAGGTTTCATCTCCAAGAACTAAAAAATAAAAGTTCAGAATTAATTAGTTAGTTCATTAACATGACATCACATCACCAATTTAGTAACTCAGTATTGAATAATCCACATTATTCACTATCATTTGAATGTCTGGCATTATTTAACAGGTTGCAAATCATGGTATCATTCACTGGTATCATTTACACACTTCTTCTCAATGACACTCCCACTAAAACAACATTATGATGAAATAAGCATTTCTGGCCCCTCTGCACAGTTCCTGTAAACCGGCCTTACTGCAAACCAGTCTTGTTCTTTTTATATTTTTGGAATTCATTCATATATCCATATGATATTTGAGAGTTTACATCTAACCATCAGCTGATAAGCACTACTGCTTTACCCCACCGTGCATGCCGCAGCTGTGAGTGCTTTACCCCACCGTGCACGCCGCATGGCACGCGTACACCACAGCCGTGCACCTGCGTGACCGTGAGTTCACACACGCAGATGGAGAAACAGCTCAGAGCCACTGACATGGAAGCTAATCAGCCTGACACCAACCTGCATTCTTTACATGCTGGAGTTAGAGGATGCGTCCAACATAAAACAAGGATGTCCGTTCACCGAGGACTGCATCAGCAGTAAATAATCCCCTGTGCTTGAAATGCTGCTTGGCTTCTTTTCACACGACAATATTAGCACCTCGGCCTTCTGTTTGTACAGCTGGAACATTTTAAAACAGGGCCCTGGAGAGACAAAACATATCATCGGACTTCCATGTGGACTGTGGTGTCTCGCAGTTGCACAATCAGCGTGTCCTGGCCATTTCTGCGACACTCGCTGTGGAGAGCCGACCTTGGCCTACTTTGGTGTCCCACCAGAGGAGGGGATGCTCGCCGGGCTATCTGACAGGCCGGCCTTGTGCTTGGCTGCGGCAATTTAGGCACCTTATTGACTCGCTCCTTCAGCTTGTCTCCTGGAAACACACACTGAGAGGCCAGCTGGCTTTGCTGCTACATTCACAAGAACAGGTTTGTGTTTCAGCCAAACACCTAAACCATTCAGAGTCACAGAGAATTTCAGGGCATGATGATCTCGGTCTCCCTGAGGAAGCCCAGATGAAAATCCCAACCTTCGGTGTGTTATTTGGTCAGAAGGCTAGGAACCCCCCCCCTCCAACACACACACACACACACACAAACACACACATACACACAGCGCACACACCAAAAAACGGGTATTCATCACGTTGTGGAGACATTGTGTCCCCATAAGGTAAGGTATACCTGCTCACACACATGCACGCATGTACACACACGCACACACGCACATGCGCACGCATGTACACACACACATAGATACACACACATGCACACACACATATATGATTAGCTGTCCCTAAACACAGACACAGAGATCTGAGTACTCAGTTGAACATTAATAAAAGCAACTGAACTTTTTCCACTTCAACACCCTTATTGTGCAATAACCTACATTTCATACACAAGGTCATTGTAAAGCTCTGGGTGATTTCAGGAATTAAACAGAAATTTTGAATAGAAAGAAGGACTTACTTCCTGCTGCAAAGGAAATACTCCTAACTATTAATGTGCCTCTATTTTATTCTGTAATGAATATAGCCTTTAATGACTCTAGTAAGGTTGCAGACGTTTGCAGAACAAGTGGTCCAAGTATCTGGTTTTGATAACAGGATAATGTCCTCTTCCACAGATTTTCATTTGAAAACATCCCAAAGATGGGGAATAAGAATAATAGTAATTAAAACCGCGATACAAGTTTGAGCAAAATAAATGCAAATAAAAGCAATAGGAGAAGACAATTTCAAGTCTGGTATCGTCAAAATTAAGTGACTCACATCATTTATTTAATCCATTTCTGTGTCAGTTTGGTTTTATGGTGCCATGTTATTATTTTTTTCTTTTTCTATTTGATAAGTTTTTGATTTTGTGAAATTGGGCAGCTGGGGCTTTTTAAAAATGTAATAAATACTGACTTGACTTGTTAAC